GCATCTCATGATGCTGTCCTCCCTTCTGCCTAAGGGATCTGAAATAGTGAATGCTGAGAGTATTCACCCATGGAAGCACATTTGATCTTCAGCCAGGTCTTGAAATGTAACAGCCTCTCTGCAATAATGTTCTGCTTATATATTAATTGTTCATTTCTGTGCAATTGTAAAGAGAGAGTGCTGAAAGTAGTTACAACAAAGACCTTCATGCTGCGGCAATAACTGTGTGCTCTTGAATACCATTGGTATCAGACTTAATTCTTAGACATTATAATTATGTGAGGGCTCATTTTCTGTGAGTTTGCTCTCACTTGTCTTCCCTATTTAATATACATTATAATATTTTGTACTTTTCTTCTAGGCTTGAATAGGAATATTGTATTAAGCAAGCAGGTGATGAGATTCTGTTCTCTGTTCCAGTTAGCATAATTTCACCAATTCTGGTCCAGTTACTAGGATCTTCTGTAATTTAACTGCAATCAGAATTGAATTGTGTTTGTTTAAAAATGAAAAAAAGTATCTCTGAATGTTCATTCTATAGACTTTTTCTGTTGTGATGGTTGTAATGGAGATTAGTGTGTGTTCTTTTTTTTATTTCACATTTTTATTTCAGAGCCTTAACATCCTAATAACAACTTTATGCTCTTCATCCTGTTAGCAAGTAACTCGGGTAGGAAATTAAAAAGAGCTGTGCAGTGAACAAAAGGCATTTAAAGGCTGGTTAAGCAAGGAATTTACCCTTCTCACATAAATGTCTGCATTATCATTATTGACAAACACAAGGAGAAGCATCTATTATTCCATACTTCTGTCAATTAACTATATGTGAAGAGTTTTGAAGGAAAGATGCCTTGTAAGGTAGTAATTTGAGACTTCTTTTCATTTTAATTTATAAAACTAGTTTTAATAACTTCTTTAGGAGTTTAGTACCCCAAACAGTTAAATAATTCTGGTTGAAATGTCACATGCATAGCATAGTTTAGTAAGCAGCTGCAGAAGTGGTCAGAGCTGGATGAAATTAGAAGGTAAAACTTTAATTTAATTTAGTGATAATGTGCATTAATTCAGACCAATGTAAAGATTAAAAGTAAGATAATTAAATACTCCATGTTTGTAGGAAACACACACATAGAACATATACACTCATATCTTGAGTAGCATGCACACACACACAATTCTCCAAAAGACAGCCTGTACTTAACTAAGTAATATAATAGCATTTAAGCATTTTGAGGTAGACATAGTACAGCTGAATTTGGTATTTTGCTGTCATTCATGATTTACTGGCATTGCTTTTATACCACCACTCTTAGTTTTAACAGATTTTTTTTCCATCATCAAAAGCATTATCTACCATAAACTTAATGTGCAATGTCTGAATCTGAAAGTTTTAATTTTTTGCCCTACTGTTTTTGCATCAGATCAAGCACACTCTAGTCATTACAAGGAAGAAAAAAATAACCTCCAATACAGTAATTATTTCGTCCTTTTAAATTAGTTTTGATACAATACTCCATTTGTACTTTCCTATGCTAATATAAACTATTGTTTATATTATCTTGGAATGCTTGCAATGAGTTTACAGTATTTACTATTAATTAATTAATTAACTTACATATTTAAATTAAATCTCTGAGAAAACAAAATAAAAAATGCATCTTTGTCACCTTTTGTTGAAATCTTGGAGTTTCCTGAGGTTCTTCTTCTGTACTGTGTTTTTTGCTGCCTACCATCTTCGTTACTATGCTTGTCTTGCACTTTCCTCTGTAGCTATCGCACTTTCCTCGAGGGAATCTTGTCGGCTCTGGACCACCAGAATTCCCACTCCTTGTTCTTAAAAGACAACTGAGCAAAGGTTATGCCAAGTTGTTCTTGTATGGTTGTCCAAAGGGAGGGGAAAGATCAGCTCAAAGCAATCTGCTGTGATAAAGCCTGTAGCAGAGGAAGTCCCAAATCTTGCTGGGTTATTTTTCTTTCCCAAAGCAAAGCCCATCCCTTGCTCCCCCCCACCTTTTATTTTTTTCTCCCTGCAGCATTTAAATATGCTTGTTATGCTGTGCTGTGGGAAACAGATGCATTCTTGTTATGGCCAGAGCTGAATGTCAGGATTGAAGGAGCATCCATGAAAAACTCTTTTGTTTGGTCTGTGCTGTCCCACAGTGGAGCTATGGCAACAACTTCCGCTGGGGAAATTAACTGTGTCACTGTGTTCAAAGCACAGCACCACCTGAATGACAAACATGCCACTGCTCACATGACAGCTGACAAAGGGTATTGTTTAATTGTAATAAAAAATATTAAAACCCAGCCAATTCAAAAATCCAAACCATGTGAAGGCTAGGTATATGTGAAATGCACTGGCATTCTATTTTCATTCAAACTGAAGAATTTAGAGATATTGTTATTTTATAAATGTTTATGTATTGTGGTTTAAAAATTGAGTAACTTCTGATTTTGAGCCCCACACCACTCTTGGTGATTGTGCACATGTTTAAAAAAAGAAGTAAAGCAAATAGTGCCACACTCCTGTGAGGAGAGGGTTTGTGTAGGTGTTGTTGGTTTAACCTGTCAGGCAGCTAAACAGCACACAGCCACTCACTCACTCTCCCACCCACCCTCTGAATGGGATGTGGGAGAGAACTGGGGGAAAAACCCAAAGTAAAGTATAAGGATTGAGACAAAAACAGTTTAATAGGAGAAAAAAGCAGAACAACAATAATTAGAATTTACAGAGTAAGTGATGCACAGTGCAATTGCTCACCACCCACTGACTGAAGCTCAGACAGTTTTGAGCAGGGGTCTCTGGCCAGGTTCCCCCCCAGTTTATACACTGGGCACAACATTTTATGGTATGGAATATCAGCTGGGGTCAGCTGTCCTGGCTGTGCCCCCTCCCAGCTCCTGGTGCCCTGCAGCCTCCTTGCTGCCAGGGTGGAGTGAGAAGCTGAAAAACCTTTGGCTTAGTGTAAACATTGCCCAGCAACAACCAAAACATCGGTGTGCTATCAGCATTAGTATTCCCAGAATCCAAAACACAGCCCTGTACCAGTTACTAGGAAGAAAATTAACTCAGTTGTGGTGGAAACCAGGACAGCAGATCAGAGGGACATTCTTCTGTGGCTGTCAGTGTTTCCAGGGATGCACATTTGCCACAGCTAAGCCTGTTTAACTAGGTACAGCTGAGAGGGGTCACTTTCCCTGCAATGGGCACTCTGGCTGTCAGTGTCCAGCCTCTTGTGGCACCAGGGAGCTGCCACAGGTGGCTGGGGTCATTCTTCTGCTTCCACCTACACTAGGTTCAGCAGTGGGATAATGTTGTACTAGCACCTGGGTATGTAAGTTTGGAGGATTGGAGGATTTTTATTTCTCTTACCAATGCAAAGGAGCCCTGGTAGAGAAGGAAGGAAAGTAATTTTCATTTTCAGAACCTTATAAATTATTACCACATAGTTGAAAACAATCAGTATATTCAGACCAAATAATATTAGTTCACATTTCTGCAACAGGATATCAGCCCTAAGGAGAGAGCCCTGTGGTGCCACCTGCCTTTGCAAGAAGCTGGAGTCACTGTCTGCAAATTTTCACAAGCAGTAAATGCTTCTCCACAAAATTCTACAAATGATGGTGGTAAGTTTTTTGAGTAATGACTGGCCAGCACTGATGTTTCTGGACAAAATATTGAGGTTAATCTGTGGTGAAACAGCACGAACCCCATCAGTTTCCCTGGGTTTTTGAATGCACACACAGACAGATGTGAACACTTTTAGAAGAGAGGACTTGTAACACTTCAGTTGTTTTAATTGAAGCTTCTAAAACCTTTTCCCATCTTTGCTTGAAACTGAAATATGTAATTTTCTGGACACAGTCCTTGATCCTCAGCTGAAGGGTGTTGTGTAAGTACTCTTGACACATTTGAGTGAAGATATCTCTGTATCATCAAAATGAAGAGAACATACCTCACCTTCCCACCCTGACCAAGTCAGGGGTATGCAAGAACAAAAGTCTTTTTCAGAGACTTTTTTCAGGACTTTCGGGTCCTTTCTCAGAGCCTTACACACACTTGGCCCCTTGAGATATCAGAAATCTAGTCTGAATCTACCTTTTTCCTCTTTCCATTTGTAGTGAAGAAGAAAATAAAAAGGAAAAGGGGTTTGGAAAACAGAAGGGCATCCAATATTATTTTATATATATATAATATATTAAAAATAGATATATTTACATACGTAAACTATATGTGCATGGTAAATTTACACACACACAAATATATATATATACATTAATATATATATAAATATATATAAACATATTTTGTCACTAAGCTGACCAGCCTCTGAAAGACTCTAGTCATTTACTGAAGAAGTTCCTGAAACTTGTGATAGAGCATCCTACACAAATATGCAAAAAGAAGACCATGGCTCCTACATAAGTTAATATTGTCATGATCACTATTCTGCCTTCAAGGGTTACAGGTCGATGGAAATCGTGTGTGAAATCCCCGTTTTTAACGTTGTTGCAGGTGATCCTTCACCCTCACGCTCCAGCCTGGCTCCAGCCTTTATCCAACTGGCATCGACCACTGCCTTCTCCCAGCTCAGGAGATGTATTTTATACGTGACATTCAGATATATTTATGACAAAGCATTTAAACATGGCTTTGCCCCAGCTGCGGCACCGGACCCGTACGGGCTATGGGCCCTGCAGCAGATGGAGCCCTGCTCAGGCGCTTCACACTCGCGGGTTTCGCGGGGCCTGGCGCCAAAAGAACGCCGGCCAAGCCGGGGCCGCGGCAGCGCAGGCCACGCCCGGCCCGGCGGTGCAGGCCGCCCGCAGGAAGCGGCTCCGCCCGGCGCCGAGCGCCGCTCCCGCCGCGGGCCCCGCTGGGCGGGCCGGGCCGGGCCGCGCCCTTCCGCGGGCCGCGCTCCCTCCGCGCCCGGGGCGGCCCCGCCCCCGCGCCCGCTGATTGGCTGCGGCCCCGGCGGCGGCGCGCGGGGCTCCCGTCTCGCGCCACTTTCGGGAGCCTTTGGCGCGAGCGCCATGGCCGAGAGCGGCGCTCGGGGCCCGGACGGTGAGACCCGGGGACGGCGGGGCGGCCGGGTCCCCTGTCCTTGTCCTCCTGTCCTTGTCCCCGTCCCTCGCAGGCGCTGGCGTTTCGCTGTCAGGCGGGGGGCGACCGGGCAGCAGCGCTGGCGGCGGCGGCGAGCGCGCGCGCACCGGGCGCGGGAGCGCGCGTGCGCGGCGGTCGGTCGGTCGGCCGTGGTGGGGGCGGACAGCGCCGCGCGAGGGTCCCGCGTCCCTCTGGGAGCCTCGGCGGGGCCGCGCCCCCGCTGCCCCAGCGGCGGGACCCGCTCCGGGCGGGCGCGGAACGGGGGGATCCGCCCGGGGACGGGCTCGGGCCGCACGGCCCCGCGCCGGCGGTGCAGCCCCGCGGGCTGGGGCGGCTCTGCCCGGTCGCTTCTCAGCCCAGGGGGCAGTGGCGGGCGCGGGTGGCCCCGGCTGGGGCTGGAGCACGCGTGTCCCAGAGGAGCGCATTGCCTGAGGCGTGCAGTAAAGGCGGAGCACTGACACAGATACCCGCGCCCAGAGCGGTCTGTGCTGCTCTCCCCCACAGGGCAGCAGGCAGTGCAGATGTCCCTTTTAGCAATGCCGATCCGGCCTTCTCTCAGCCGCGCTGCCGGGGAGCAGCTCCGGTCACAGGGTGATGTCCTGCTGCCCTCAGGGGGGAGTGCCCGGCTCCTCTGCCCGCCTGGGGCTCCTGTGCCGGCACCGGGTGTGCAGCTCCTCACACCGAGCCCGCAGCCTTGTGCCCGGGCTGTGTGTGTGCTGCTAGGACTTGGGTTGGGCCCGTTTGTTCCCTCTGGTCAGATAAGTGTTCCTCCCCCTCTGGAGAAGAAGAAAACATCTTTCTTTCTCCTTTGGAGAAGTACAAAGCATCTTCTTGCTGGGGAGAGCATTTGGGAGGGAAGGAAGTGGAAGAGGAAATGGGGTGACAGCTGTCAACAGATTTCTAGTTTGTCTCAATCTGGTCACACTCAAACGTTGTGGAAACCGCCTAAAAACATCGGTGCTTTGTAGCAGTGTAGGCCTTCTCCAAGTCTGGTGTTCCTGAGTTGTCATGGAGACATGTAAAATAAAAGGAGCTGGAAATTCCCAAGGAAAGGGTGGTGGGGGATCTCTTACAGGGAGAGGCTGATGGGATTTGAGAGGTGCTTTGGAAATGAGGTGGTAGCTTCATGCTGAATGTGAGCTGGCATGAGAGGGCTGTGTGAGCTCCCTGTCAGGCCATGCCCTCAGCATCATTCCAGAACTGGCTTAGGAAGAGCCATCTGTGACTGAGCTTTTAGCCAAGTAGGTTTTGGTTTTAAGCAAAACTGCAATCGTCTATTAATGCATCACTGACACTTAAGTACCAAAACTAACACCTCGCTGTTAAACTAATTTATCTTGTTTTTAATTAATTACAGCTATGAGTGAGTCTGGAAGTTTTGCAGCATCACGTTCTAGACGTGAGAGGAAGAATAGAAGAGGCCAGCAAGAAGCGCTTGAACGTCTGAAAAAAGCCAAAGCTGGGGAAAAATTAAAATATGAGGTGAAAATTCGTCATCTTCTTAATTAAAAGTGCATGTGAGCTGAGAAGATATGTAAAAGTTAGAGGAACCAAAATAAGCCTTTCAGATCAGCTTTTGTGTTTTTAATCATGTATGTTTTTCTGAGTGTAGCTGTAGTTTTCTGCTTTCTAATATAATTTATTTGTTTCTTTCTGTTTTCAAAACTAACCCAGTTTTGTTAACTGCCATTGCTTGAGAACTATGCTGTAGGGAAGGACCAGTTTTTGAAATTGCATAATTAATGTTATGATAGGAAGTACCTTTTTTTAAAATCTCAAATTATATGAAACTTTAATTTCAGAACTTTACATGACTGAAATCCATTAATATTGATATGCTGTGTTTCCACAAATAGACCCCAATTTAAGTGGTGGAAGTAAAATCTGTCAGTGTAACATTGATACTGTAACATTGTCCAGTCTGGTGCCAACAGGAAGTTACTTCCTCATTGAGGTGAATAAATGTAAAGAAACCAGAAGTCCTTAGATCATTAACATGCAAATTTTCTGTGAACACTCTTCTTGGGTACATCAAATCTCTTTCCTTTTTGTTCAGCTCAGATTGCTGTTTGAGACTAGAGCCAAGGGCACAAGTTTTCACTGCTAGGTTTTTTATTTTTTAAATTTTTTTTTTTGTAATGAAATGAGCAATAAAGCAAGTAGCTTTCAAATGAAATCTCTGCCAGGGCTTCAGTAGATTTTGAGTTTCAGTATACTGTGATAGTTTTAAGAATTGATAACTTGTCTTTTATGACTGCCAAAAGTTGTGAACAGTGCAGCAGCGTAGGAACCCTACATGCATTCTTGGGGATTCTTACATTCTGCCTGATGATCTGCAGTATTGATGGTCTGGAAACTGTTAATCCTCAGTGTACCTTAACTGTAGGTTGAGGAGTTCACAGGTGTTTATGATGAAATAGATGAGGATGAATACTCCAAGATGGTCAGAGACCGTCAGGATGATGACTGGATTGTTGATGATGGTAAGTTAAGATTAATTTGGAGAGTTATTTTGGTTCTAGTGTTATAATTCATTTAGGCTTCATAATGTTCATGCTTTGAGGTAAGTTATTGTTAGTACATTCTTAAAATTTGTTTTAGGAGACAAGACAAAGGCATTCTTTTAATGGAAATTAATCTTGGATTGTTCTCATAGTAGTCTGTTGGGATGGTAATGAAAATATTTTTCCATGAAGACCTGTTGTTGAAATTTTATTTCCAGTTATCAGTGTTACAATTTTACAAAAAAAGTACTGGTTTTGATAGTTTCTAATTAAATATGTAAGAATATATTTAGTCTAGTAGAAGATACAGCTGAGAGTGCTGTAGTTTTTAATACTTACTTTTGTAACTTTTGCTCTGTATTAAAGGGGGAAAAATGTTTGAATATGTAAAAAACTCAGGAATATCAGAAGACAGAATTTAAACCACAGTTTTTAAACATTTTTTTCTACAGATGGGATAGGTTATGTAGAAGATGGAAGGGAAATCTTTGATGAAGATCTGGATGATGATGCTCTTATTTCCAATAAGAAAGGTAACTTGCATGTGCCCACTGGAGACTGTCTGCCAGGGTCTTTTAAAAGGTGCCCAAAATGGGCAACTTGCTGCCATCAGTAAATGTGATAAATATGGCCAAATGACAGGTTACTTTGTGTTCTTACTTGAAGCTCTGTCATCTGGTGCCTGTGGATTTTATTCAGCCCCAGTGCTGCAGAGGATGGAGGCTCACAAATTGAGCTCACATCACTGTTAGCTGCTTCAGCACAACTGGGGCGCTGCTGCTCAGTCTGCTGTGGAATGGGGATTCACTTCTAGGAAAAATGCATCTGGGAGGACTCTTGGTTTTCAAAGCCAGTGCCTAAAAGATGTGTGGTTTCTCTTCACCACTGAAGTACTTGCATGCTCGTAGGAATCTTGGATCATATGATTTTCCCATTTTTTAATGTAATCTGGTGGCAAACTGAGAAACTGAGTCTGATGTTGAGAATCCAAGCCTAGTGCCAAACTCCTGGACACTCATTTTTTATTCCCTGGAAATCCTTCCATGTGAAGTATCTTTGTCCTTTTTCTGGAGTATGCAAAAGGCATCTCTGACATGATTAGGAAAGAGAGGGTTATGAGAGGGTTTTTCATTTTTTGTGTGTGCATGACAGCTGCTACAAAGCTGAAAGATGACTAGGCTTCTTTTCAGCCAGAAGTGCAAAGGTAGAAGAGGCAGACTACCTTGGCTATCTGCCCCTTTTAATAACTGGACCTGTAAACATTGATTTTTTTTACATGAAATTCACATTTTAAATTTTTTTTGTTTTGGTAGGAAAAGGTGGCAGAACATCTACAATTGATAAAAAGAATGTGAAAAAATCCGTGGTATCAAAGCCAAACACAATTAAGTCTATGTTTATGGCCAGTGCTGGGAAGAAAAACACAGATGTAAGTTTTTACATTTTTGAATTTAAATATTTCTCACTTGTTCACAGTTTTAGTGAGAATGGAGTAAACCAAAGTCTCGCTTTAGTTTCTTGTGTCTAGTGAGACAAACTTCTATTATGATCCCTTGTGTATGGAGCACTTCTGAAAGTGTTGTGTGTGTTTTGTGGAAATCCTCTAGTCATTAACTGCTGTTCTCCTGATTGGGTTTGCACATGTAACTGAGACCTGTTTGGCTACTCTTACCTTACAGAAAACTGTGGACCTGTCCAAGGATGATTTACTGGGGGATATTCTTCAAGATATTAGTGCTGAAGTAAGTATGTTAATAAAATCTCTTGGAAACAACCTTAATCCATTAATTTGTCATGGAACACACCAAGAAAATACATTTTTTTGTGAAACTAGACAATCTAAGACTGATTTCATCCACAGCACATCTCATTGATATATTCCACATGTGTGTACTGTTGTCTCCACTGTGCAGATGTTGCATGACTGCATTGCTTGGTAAGGCAATACCTCCATCACCTGATTGCAGATGGTGATCTTTATATCAAGATGATGTGGAGGCTGTGCTAATGCAGCCTTCAGGGTTTGAGTCAGTGTGGAGGGAAAGAGGACTTGGCTGCCTCTGAATTGTGTGCTGTGTATCTGTCACCACACCTCAGCTTAGGATATCTCCATGTGAGCTGTATGGGAGGAGCTGAGGGAGCAGTGTTTCAGCAGGTGATGTAACCTGAACCTCTGTCTGCCTCCTGCTTCCCATGATTTCCTGCAGGGAACCAGGTTAACACTCCCTTGGAGGCAGGAGTGCAGGGTTGGACTGTCTCAAATATGTGATGCCCTTTGAGCAAGATTTCTTAAAACCAAAAGGATTGCTCACATGTAAATGTCGAAACTGCCTGTAATGGTGAGATACTGAGGTGGAATGTGTTGAACCATAATAAGCTGAACGTGTTTTTTCAGCCCAGTAAAGGGTATACGATGTCCCAATGTAAAGTTATTCTCTTAGTTTTGTGCTCTTATTATTTTACTCCTCTTCATGACATCTGATTGAGGCTATAAAACCCCCCATGACTAATGCTGTCCCTGCCCCCTGGTATCATTAAAGAAATGCAATTTAATGCTGTCAAATTTGTGGAACATTGAATAGGGTAAATAATTGCACTATGGCTTCTATTTACTTAAATATTAGTTAGCTACTAATTTTTTTTTGTTTTGTTATTTGTTTTGTAAAATTTCTGTCGTTACTAGCTGTTGGTAAGGTCGAGTATAAAATATCTGTAAATAAGTTGTGTTTTCCTCTAGTGGAACAGTACTAAAAGAGCATTTCAGTCTTTCATGAGACATGTATCTTCAATACTACTGCTTCAGCAGGCATGAAAAACAGCACAAATTATTCTGATACTTGTGCAATAAAGGCGCAGTTAGCTATTGAAATTCTCACTGTTTGAAAACTGTTTCACTTTTCCTCAGATTGTTTCCTCTCCCAAAACATCTAGTATGTGTCTTCATGGGCTCATTGCTCAAGTAACATTATTTTATGGGGCTGGGTTTCATATCAGGAGGTGTTTTCTTCATCAGCCAAAAGTATTGGTGTCTCTCTTTCTTTTGGATGGAAAATGTTACTAACCAAGGCAAAAGAAAACACTAAACAACTTTTACCTTTGTCACTGTCTCTGTTCTTTCAATATTCAGACAGTTCAGCTAAGTCCACCACCAGTTATAGTGCTGAAAAGGAAAAGATCTGCTGGAGTACCACTCAATCCTTTCTCTGTACAGTCCCAAACTCCTGAGGTAAAGGGGGAAAAATGTTCTCATTATTAATAAGCGCTAATCTGTGTTTTTGTTGATTTGAATACTGTTGACTTTTGTTTCTCTTCCTGGAAATTAACTTTCTCTTAAGCTCCATAGCAGTGTTACAGTGTAACTTTGTGCTTTTTTCTGCATTGCCTTTCATGTGAACACATAAACAGTACAATTAGTTTGTGTCTGTAGTATAGTAGGAGTTTGTAGCTGGTGCATTTGACCGGTGAAACTGTTGTTACAATGTTCAGTGCATCATATGAAGGTGAGTTTCTGCTCTGTCTCTTTTCCAAAGAGCAGAAAAGTCCCTTGTGGCAAGGAGAGGAGGATGGGAAATAAGCAGCAGTGTGGAAAAGGATAAGAAACCAATCAAATGGAAAACAAATGGAAAACAAATGGAAAATTGTTGCTATGGATAGAAGTTTGCCCAAGTGGAAGATTTTGGAGTGAGAGGAGGATGGGCTGCTGAGGATGGAAGGGCTAGCATTTTGTTAGGATTTCTGGTAAATGGAAAGGACTTTATAGCTAGAAATATGAAGAGATAGTTGGTAATGGTCTATAGAAGGAAAATGGAGTGGTGTAGATATGTCTCATTGGTGAAACCTTCTGTGACATCAGCTCTTATGTTGAAAATAATCACCAGTGCTGCTCATCTTAACAGTTGTCATCAAAACTAGAAGCAATTGGACAAAATGGGGAGATGTAGTAAGAGAGGCTCATGGTGCAAAATATGTGGAACTTTTCCTCTACCCGTGGTTACTTGATCTGCAAATAGCAAGTGAAAGTTTTGTTGTTTATTTTTTTCTTCTTTGCTCTTACAAGATTATTTTTAACTAATGGTGGAAATGTTTTTCAGGTAATCACCCCTATATCAAAGAAAGCTCCTGCTCATGTCAGAAAGGAAACTCCTCCTCCAGCTTCATTTCATCCTAAACACCCCAATAATACAGCAAAATCTGTCAGAGTCCCTGAAAATGAGGACACCAAGCATGTACAAAAACCTATAGAAAATGAGAGAATGGTGAAGGCAGTAGGAGAGAAAGCTACTAAAGGTATCAAAAGTAAATGAAAACCCAATTCTGGAAACTCTTTAAATATGGTCTAGTAGTTTTAAAGCACTTGTTAAATTGTACTAGTTTAGATAGAACAAAGTATCATATTTAAGCTATCAATACTGTATATTATGGTCATGCTTATAGTGTGCTATCTCTGCATACTGCTGTAGTATGCAGTGTGTCATTTTGATGATTCCAGCCTTTAGTTCTACCTGCAGCACTTCCAGATGATGATCAGGGAATGATGGATTTTGATGAGGAGGACTTTGATGAACCTATGGAAGCAGAGCATGTGGAAACTGTACCTGAGACAGCTGAAAGCTTGAAAAGAGACAGTGAAATTGAGAAGAAAGAGACAGAGCAGCTGGAATCAGAGATGAAAGAGACTTCTGCCTTGTAAGAATCTTTTTTGCTTCTTCTTATTCTTCCACTAAGAGGGCTCTCAGTTTCCATTCACCTTAGATTTAGCTTCATATTTGTCTTTGCCACAGGGATAATTGTGATATAGACAGAATGATAATAATGCTATGCAATGCTTTTTTCTTCATAGTTACATTAAGAATAGTAACATGCTGATAGCTACTTAATTGAAAAATATTTGATGTTTTTGGGTTCTAGCATGTGACAACATGTATTTCACACACTGAGGTGACTCAATGTAAGTGTTGAATAGTGAACTTTGATGTCAGTAAGCAAAACCAAGGAATTTCTAGCAATACTTACTCTAAATCTGAAAGTATTTTGTAATAGATGTAGGTAAAAGTTTTGTTGCTAAAAGACAAAGACAGCTATGTTTTTGGAAATAGGAAAAAAGGTGGGCTTTTCCCTGATTTTGGATTTTTTTTAATGTTTGGAAAATCTTGAATCATATGTTTCCATAACAAAATATTGAAACAGTAAAATAGTTGAATGATGAAAAAGACCTAAACATCTAATGACTGAAAAGGTAGTTTTGTTGAAATAATCCTTTGTTCCCACTAAGCAACTTGTATGGACGGGTGGGTGTATTTGATATGTGAAGAATTGAATTGACCAAGGCTGAAATAGCAGGTGACTGATTTTCAAAGCCTGTGTGTGGTGTCTCAAGGCCCATATGTAAATGTGGGTTTCTGTCTTTGTCACTCCATCCCTCTTTGCAGAAGAAACCTGAGGTAACCCAGCTGTTGGGAATGTTGCTTGGTAGTGGAAAGAGAAACAGAAGGTGTGGGAATATAGGCCTGGAAAAAAGCAAAATGGTAATTATAGCAAAGGCACAGTTTTAATTGTTTTTCTATTCTTCTGCAAAACCTGCAGAAGTTGTTCTCTCCCAGGTCTCTCATGTTGGGACAGAATTGATGAGGATGAAGCTGATCTAGTAGCAGCAGAAGTTCAACTGGACCCCAATCTCCTTCCACTGGTGAATGGGGAAAGTGATGATCAAGTGTTCAGATTTTATTGGCTGGATGCTTATGAAGATCAGTTCAGTCAGCCAGGTAACTGTTCAGCTAAAGCAGAAAATACTAATCTGATTCTTTTTGTTCAGATTTTCTTTTTTGAAAATTGGAGTTTTCAGACTTGACTGAATTATATCCAGTTGCCCTGTGTCTCTGTGTGTCTAAGATGTTCTAAGATCTCTTGTATTTCTGTACCTCTGTACAGAAGAGGCAGAGCAGGGCACTGTGGGGTCAGAGTGTCATCTCTTGGCCTAAGATAGAGGTAGGGAAGTAAAAGGGATCTACTAGCACTGTTCAGTGTTGGTGACCCATTGTCTTTCTTAAAATTTTATACACTCCAGGAGCAAGCTGAAGTTGTTAATTTCTTGCTCAGTGATGCAACAACTGAGCATGCTTTCTTGTTTTTGGAAAAGTAGCTCAAAATTCACGTGGATGAATAAAATGCCTGTACTGTAGCAGTTGCATGATTTTATGCAAAGGAAAGGTATGTGTGTCAAGGAAGGAAAGTGGTCTGAAAAATACAAGGTCTGTCTTGTATTGCTTATCCCCTAATTCAAACTATCTAAATCTTGAAGGTTATCTTCAAATTAAGATTGCTAGCTCTCATAGTCTTCAAATTGCATCATTCTGATCTCAGCTCTGGCAAAACAGTTTGTGTTCATGTGTTCTGAGCGCTTCCCATCCATTCCCTCATTTCATCAGCAGCTTTAGGATATTGGGTTTCTAGTTTCTGCTTCATGTGTGTTTGCCAGAAGGTTCTTTCATGTGTTGTTGGAGGTTTTTTTCAGTTGAAGCTGTAAGCATTGAGTGAGATACATTTCTTTGTTAACACCTTTTATTGTGAGTTGGGATGCCAAACTTAAATATGAGACTCTGCTGGGCTGAGCAGCTTGGTGATGGGAGTGGTAATAATCACAGATATCTTGATGAAATCAATGGCTCTAATATAAAATTGCTACTTGTAAAGAACCCGCTATTGTTATTTTTCCTTTTTTTTTGTCTTTTAAGTCAGTGATTGCTGAATGGAACATAATTATGAAAGGATTTCTGTTCCTCGCATGCAAGGAGTGTTCTTTTCTCATTATGACTTTTTCAGGATTGAATAATAAAGACGGCACCTGTTTTCAATTAGTAATGTAGAAGAGAAAATTTTGATATTGCTTTTTGTTTAACATGTTCATGATCTTTGTTTGTGCCTCATTTGCTGTGATGTCAAATGCATTGCCTGAAGAGTAAATACTATAGCATAATCATAAGACTCTTTCAAACTTAATGATTTTTTGGAGGCTTACTTTTCATAATTCCCTTTATGATCTTAGGCAGAGAACTCGAGAATTGTGATCCTATTAACATTTTAAAGAAATAATGAATAAAACCTGCCCTTATTTTTTTCCCCTCTGCAAGACATTTTCCCTGTGTCTTGACTTTGCTTACCTTTTGGTTCATTTAGTAGCATGATCTTTCTTTTCACAGGCTTTGATTTCTAAGCTTTATTTGTATTTTTTCTTGCTTTATTCTTTCCATAGTCTTGCAGGGGATAGGGCCTGATATATCTCAGCTGATTTTTGGGGTTTTTTTGGTTTTGCATGAAATGTCTCTGAAAGCTCTTAGAAGTTAGTTTTGCTTTTACTGTCTGTGGGGGTGATAGTGTGTGCCAGTGTTCAACTGGATGATCTCAAAAAGTTCCTTCCATTCTAAATTAATCTAATTCTATGAAGTCTGGTTATTAAGACCACTTATTTCTCCGTGCTAGAGTTGATAAAAGTTTGTCTTTGTAATCCAGGCAGTTTTTTACCCTATCTTTGAGTGGCTCATGTATCCTTCTTTCTACTCCCCTGCTTATATGTACTCCTCTGACAGATTAACTACTCCATGCTCTTAATATTTCCGGCTGTTCAAGCAGTCAGTTACTGTTTTGTAGTCTCTCTCTCAGTTTCATCTTTCCATATGATACAAACCTATCTAAGGAGGGTTTTTTTATCCCTTAACAAAAAAGTAAAAGATTGCTGGGGACAAGAACTTCATCTTCCCTGTCACTTAGATCTGCAATTGGAGCTCTTTCTCAATACTTCTATTCAAACTGTCTAAATCTTCAAGATTGCCTCTGTATTAAAATTTCTTAAGATACTTTGTGCAGCTGAAACTTGTATCCTTGCTCTCATCATCTTCAAAACCACAGCATTCTCTGTCCTTGACAAAAGTAGTCTTGTGCACATCTATTCCAAGCACTCAGAAAATGATTTCTCATAGCCTGTCACATTGACTCTGTCATCCATCTTAGTGCATCTTCACTGATTTATCTTTGATCTAATGGAGTAAGAAAGGTGCCTTTATGTCTGATAGATCTGCTGGCAAAGATAAGTTATAACTCTTAACCAAGGACTTGTTTGTGCATTACCAGGCCAAGGAGAAATGCAGATTCTATGCATGAAACCCTGTTTCTGAGACAGCCTCAGCCATGGATATTTCTGTTTTCATGGATAGTAGTGTGCTGTAGGAAGAGTGTCTTCAATATAATCAAATTCCAAATTATTTGGAGCTTGAAGGGAACCTGGTAAAGCCAGGTTTCTTAGTTGTACTTGGAAGTTTTTTCTACTTGTAATTTACAAACTGTTTGTGACAGTTGAGTGGCTTGGTACTGTGTTATTTTTAAGTTTGACATAATTTGATTAGCAGTTTGCAGCATTTTGTTCTATTGCCAAGATCTCTGGTCTCAAAGGTGTGCATGGACTGTAAGGACATTGTCCACAGTGAAGTCAGTTGCCATTAGTCCTGCTCTGTATGATCTTTCTGAGTGTCTCCCTGGGTTACACTGCTGTCTTGGCACCCAGGATTCCTAGGAATGTCATGCATCTTCTGGTGTCCTCATTTGTTAAAAATACTCACTTGAAAGCTGATCAGCTTCTAGTTGTTGTCTTCGTAATGTTTTTCTACAGGTTTTATTGGTAATTGAGTCTTGATCCCAGGGTACTGAAGTGTAGGGAAAAGGAGTCAGTTGTACTGGTCTAGGTGAGGAGTGGAAAACTGGAGATAACACATGTGAGAGGATTGATTGACAGCATAGGCATTCTCATCATCTCTAGCTTTCACTGACATCTCTCTCCTTCCTCCCTCTCTCCAGGGATTATCAAACTAATACAGGCAGCAATGGAATATCAGAACAGAATTTTGAGACTGGCTGTGAAATGCCATTTTGAATTTTACATACCAGGTGTTACTATAGCAATGGAGGTAGAGACAGGAAGAATGATACAGGTGTCTGTTTGTAAAGCTGGTGTTTAAAACAATTTAGAATGTGCTGATGCATTGGGAAGATTTGTTGTTCAAGGACCTAACACAGCAATGGTTGTGTTTCGATGCAAGAATACATTACAAGCTGCTTCAAGCAAGATTAGAAATGATTAATTGTAAAACTGCATATTGAATTCTATGCCCTTCTTCCTTAGGTGTGGTATTTTTGTTTGGCAAAGTTTGGATTGAATCTGCAAACACCTATGTCAGCTGTTGTGTGACAGTGAAAAATATTGAGAGAACTGTTTATCTGCTGCCACGTGAAACAGTAAGTGTGACTTTTAAACCCGTCAAACATAAGTGCCTTTCATCCTGCTTATGGCAGCTTGGGAGTTTAGCAGTGTTTATGGAAGCTGTTGGAAGCCAGTGTTGTCTGATGTAGGTGATAAAGTCAAAAACAATGTGTGCATCACATGTGAGCTGCAGAGTAGAGCCCTGTGACTTCCCCTGACCCTAACTAACAAAGGCAGACAATATTTTACCCTTTGCTGCTTTGCAAATAAAGTGGTCTTGAAGTCTGGAGAACTTAGTGCTTTTTAACCCTCTGTTTCAAGTAATATTTTCTAAATTTGGGATTTCTTGGCTGATTGCATTTTAGCTCTTCCTAAAAAAAGAGATACAGGATTCATAATAGCAAATTATATTCAACATATTGTCATGTCTGCTGACATTTTTGTTAATTTGTAAAACCTCACTTCTGTTTTTGAGGAAATCGACCTATCTTCTGGTAAAGAGACAGAGACTCCAGTAACTATAATGAGTGTTTTCAAGGAATTTAATGACACCATTTCACCAAAGTACAAGATCATGAAGTTCAAATCCAAGGTTTGTTTGCAAGCATCCTATTTGGTCGTTTTCTGTTCTGGTTTGTAAGGTGGGAAGGCTGTTGAAACATTGTCCAGGGAAGGAGGTTGTGCCAAATTGCAAATATATAACACCTGATATGTGTAAATTTACCTGCTTGTAAAAATCATCCAAAATGCCTATATTCCTTTAAGAATGGTAAATCTGCAACATGGTTATTCCACCAGAAGTTTAAATTATGTTTTTGTAAGTAGGCACTTATTAGCTTCTTTAAAACTGAGCTGAGTGTCAGACTGGCTTGCTGAGCTGTTTTTGAAGATGCAGAACAGATAGAAGTTCTGGTACCTAAAGCTTTAGTAACAGCTCATGTTGTCAAGAGTTTATAATGAAAGATAGTGTTGTCCAGCAGATAAATCAGTACTCTGGGATTACACTGTCTTTGCATTTGACCAGACATCTTATTGAACTTTATCTCTTGGCATGCCTCATCCTTCTTCTCACCTTCACAGATTTATCTTTTAGAGTGCATGCTGCTCAGAGTGTGGATTGTCATAGCGTGGCTGTGCAGGAGGTAACAAGTGAGGACTGTCATTCAGTCTTGAAAGCTGTTCTGTGCTTAGAGTGAGGGGCAATAGTCTTAAAAGTGTTATCTTGCTGTGCTCTGTTTGCTCAACAAATCTTTGAAATGACATTGGAAAAAAAATGTTGCTATGATGGAAACTTTGCACATAAATTAATATAATACTTGTCAGGAGTCTGCAGGAAAAGAGCTGATACTGCTGAGAATGTTGCAGATTTGGACTGAATTAGTTTGCTAGTGTCACAGCTTTATTGTCCACTTTCATAGAGCATTTGTCTTTTACAGGGGAGGGCAGAGGTGGGAAGCTTGGGTGGGGAAATGTGGCAAACATTCAGCTTAGGAGAAAAATCTGTTCTGACCGAAGTACTCAGAAAAGTTTATATTTCTTGAAGTAATATGTCATTAGTCTGGCAAAGCTGATTTTCATTAGATGTAACTTTCCCCATCCTGGCAATCTTGTGATTTTACAGGATTCATTCCTGAATAGTTAATCAGCAAGTGAGATGACAAGTAAAAATGCAGGAAGAATGGAATTTAACAATATGTAAATGAGGGAAAATAAAAACAGTTTGTGTGGTAATTCAGGTTGGAAGGATTCTCAGGAGGTCATCTCATCCAAAGCTAGCTAGACTCATTCTGAAAGTTTCAGTTGTTAAAGTGAAAACGTGAGCAAGGTTTCTCAAATACTGAAATCATGCAAGGCAGGACATCTTTTCAGCAACTTGTAGCTTAGTGTGTTATTTACTGAGTTCTGGGAAAATTGATGTGACATCAGTACTTTGTGAAACCTTTTTTTTCCTCTAGCATATTTTTTCTCTCAAAACTGATGTAAATGTAGATTTTTCAGTTTTCTGTTTTTATCTTGTATACTTGATTATAACATAACTACATGTGGAATCAGGAGTAAATTTATTCTGAAAGGAGTAAATTTAACAATAGATAAAAAAACAAGTTGCTGATAGCTCACTGTTCAAAAATCCTTTCAGGAATGAGGGAGAGAACTCAAAGAAAATTTTTCATTAAAAGAAAGGAGTACACTTGTATTCTAGAAAGGAAAGAGGGAGAAAGATCTCAAAAGATGAAGTTCTGCTTACAGAATTTTGGGAAACCTTCATCTTTTCCATGGTGTGCCAAGTGAGAATAAAGTGAATGAGGTAATAGAGTAATGTAGTTGAACATTCAAAGATGGACTCTTAAAAATCAAGGTAAAACCTGTCAGATTTTTACTGAGCTTACACAGAACTCAGGGCAAAAGACCCAACAGTTTTGGGTCTTTTGCAGCTGCAGCACATGAGGGGTCCTTGGATGTAACACAGGAGTGGGGAAGTGGGAGCACTAAGACACTGTTGAGATTTTCCCTTAAATATTGTAACACTTGATCACCATCATTAAAGGGTGAAAGGAAAGAGGAAAGATTAACTCAAGTGACTACTGGTACAAAAGATGGCAATTAGAAGGATGAGACAAAAGGACAGTTATACCAGAGATGACTGTGAAAGAGCTTTAGTTTTTTTCAGCTAGTAAAGTGAAGAATAATGATCAGACCTGTTTGCTCTCTAGAAACATTAAAAGGGGATGAACAGCCAGAGAGCTATTTAAAGGAGAGTTTTAGCAAAAGAGTGAATTTGTAATTTTTAATTCATGAATAAATTAGGCAGCATAGCTGGCGCAGGGAAGCTCTGAAATAACTTACCAGAATTGTTTCTGAAGAGTACGATTTCAAATTATTTTGAATTCTTAAGTAAACTGGGTTTTATTAAAAGGATAAAAGCTATCCAGCTTTATTTTTCTTGTGTAATATTCTGCTAATTCTGATAGTTACTGCATTCTGGTAGGGTTTAATAAGAACTGGAGATAGTAGGAAGGTATGGCAGTAGTAATATGGGAGGTAAGAGAAAGTACAGGATAGTAGAGCAGGGCTGTTAGTGGGGTCCTAGGAGGAGTATTCAAAGATAGTATTGCAGTGACTCAGATATTGCAGATTACACAAAATTGACTGAACAAGTGGCACCAAATCTGGCCGGGCTTATGCCTCTGCAGCAGGGAGGCTTTGTGCTTTCTGCAAGATAATTGTAGAAGTAATGGGGTTGTCTCATTACTGTGCCCTCCTTTTTTTCTCTTCTTCCCTTAGATACCTGAATTTACCTGACTTTGTTTTTCACAAGGAGCCATCAACCTCCTTTTCATTGTACTCATACCACCAGAGACAAGGTGTTGTTACACAGCCCTTGCATCTGTGTGTCCATAGGGGTATGCAGGGCTCTGAATTGAAATGGTTTGTGGCATTCACCTAAAGGAATGCCCCAAAGACGTGATCTTCACCCAGTTGTGACTCTATGTAGTAAAGGGCTACTGTGCTTTAGAAGATCTCCCCTGCTCTGTGATGTGCAGCCAGTGGTTCAGTGCTGTGCTGTTAAGGGTTGTTGTTTTCAAAGACTTCAAACAAATGGCTGTGCTGCTCAGGTGAGACTTGTGAGCAATGCATTCAGAGTAAGGTGAAGTCTCAGTGTTTGCATAGCTCTGTGAAACTGATAACCACTCTTCTTCCATCATTAGCTGGAAATCAGGAGGGTTACTGACATCCCTGACAGAGTTCTTTTACTGACAGAGTTCTTTCATTCAGAATATCCCTCTTTGTGATGATGTGGAGACACTGAGGCAGGTTGTTCTCTTGGCCTTGCCAGCACCCAACTTTGTCCCTTTGAACACACTTAAGCTGTATAATTTCCTGCTGCACCTGCTGCTAATTGTAGCTTCAATGGGTTGCACTGCTGCCAAGTTAGCAAGTCTTCACAAATCAATTTGAAAGCAGCCTTACTCCACTTAGGAACTTAGCAGCTAATCACTGCTGCTCATTTCTGCTCTCTGAAGGGCCACTTGAAGGGCAGATTATTCTGCAGCAAGCATTCATTCACTGAGTTATGACCAGACTGGTGTAATTGAGCTGAGCTCTGTGCAATAACGCAGATGAAACACTACAGCTGACTATTTTTATACTATGTTCATCCTAGTTTGCAACAAGAACTTGTTTAAAGCCTGAGAGGTTTTTATTAAAATTAAAAAAAGAGGCGGGGGAGCAGCAGTGATATGTGCTAAAAGCAGTGTATCTATTGCTTTTTTTTTTCTATTGCCTTCTGTTATGTCACTGCTTTGATCTGCTCCTGGTAGGTGCTGCTGTGGCTCAGCAGTTCAGATCGACATTTGCATGGTTAATTTGCAATGCTGATCTGCTCATAGTGGTGCTCTTCTGTCAAGTTATGTTACACTTGTGTTTCCATGAAACTGTTGATGCCATAGTATTTTCTGGATTTGTCTGCCTCCTATTTATAGCAGAGGTCCCTCACCTCTCCTGCCAGGGCTTTGCAGCCTTACACCTGCAGTAGCACATGAAGTAACAAGCTTCCAACAGCACCTCTTGTAGCACCCTGAGGGAACTATTGCTGATGCTGTTAATTTAAGGAAAAAAACCCCAGCCTTTCAACCCCCAAACCAAATAACTTCAAGTTTGCCTAACTGTGCATGTATTTTGTTAATTTAAAAATTTTAGTCCCATTTATGGTGATTTTTGCATTTTCTTATTGAACTTTCTCCAGTGGCATATTATGCTGAGTCTGGTGTAGAAAGTGGTGAACACAGTGCATTGTCCAGTGAGAAATGTGATTTTTAATTTAAGGTGCCTCTAGGAATTCCTGTAATAAAGTAATGTGCTAGCATAGTTATAATATAATAACAGTATGTAACATGGTGCAGATGGTTTGTAAAATACTACAGGGCAGAACACAGATATGACATGGTAGAGCATGGCATTTCAGCAGGTGCCAGAGCACTGTTGCACAGGATATTGTAATATTTTGGAAAATGAAAGTAGTTATTCTTAGAAAATGACAAGCTGTGTTATAGAAAATTGTTACTGTTCTTGAGGAAAGCAGAAGTGATACTTAACTTCAGACTTCTTTACTGTCTTAGTTAGAGATACATAAACAAACTGGACTACTTTCTAGTGAAACCTAAGTCACTTAAATGAAAAATAAAGTAGTGTCACAGAAATGATCTGCTGTGAGCATGTGATAAAAGCTGGCAGATGTTTGGGAAATCATCTCTCTTGGGTTCCTCTCTGGAGTGCTGGTACACAAAAGCTGCAGTGTAAAGGGAGGAGTTGTGTGCAGTTACAGGGATAAGTCTGGCTGGGATCACAGCCAAGGTGGGGTAGGATGTGGTTAAGGCAGGCTGGGATAGCAAGGAGGGGGATCCCTTTTGTGGATCAGGGCAGTGGAATGCATGGAGCCTGCCTGAAGGTGGGCACAGAGCTGGTCAGGATTAGAGGTTGGGCTTTTGGAAGGGACATCATGGTGGAGACAGGAAAGGCAAATCCCACCTGGAGCTGGGTCTGGTGGGAGAGACATAGACCAGTAGGAAAGGCTGCTGTAGGTACAGGCAGACTAGGAGAAAAGTGCTACTGACAGGGACAGGACATGTGGTGACAGAGGTCATGGAATAAGCTCTGATACTGCATGTCTTCTTCACCTTGGTCTTCGCTGCTTAGTCCAACTTTTAGCAGTCTCTGATGGCCAAGAGACCAGAAGGAAAGCCTGAAGCAAAGAAGACTTGTCCTCAGAGGAGGAGGATCAGGTTAGGGCACATTTAAACAAATTGGACAGATAAAGGCAAGTGGGATCTGATGGGATGCACCCGTGTGTGTGCAGAGGGAGCTGGCCAATGTCAGAAGGTGTTTGGGAGTGTTTGGTGCAGATTCACAGAGGGAAAAAGATGCTTCACCAAGCTGGGAGCCTTCTGGGAAGACATGGACTGCTTTGGTGGACAGGAGGAGAGCGGTGACTGTTGTTTGTCTTGACTCCAGGAAGGCTGTCAGTGCTGCCTGCCATGGCATCCTCACAGACAAATGATGGGGTGGGGGCCAGTGAAGTGGGCAGAGGGGTGGGCTGAAAACCAGCTGCCCTGCTGGGCTCAAAGCTGTGATCACTGGCACAAAGTCCAGGTGGAGGCCAGTCCCTAGAGGTGCACCCCAAGGGCTGATTCTGGATCCAGTCCTGCTGAGCATCCAGCATGATTTGGGTTGTTGCATGGAGCACACACAGGGCAAGTCTGCAGGCAGTACAAAACCAGGAGAGGCTGATATACCAGATGGATGTGCTGTCACAGGAATTTAGACAGGCTGGATATATCTTATGACCTACAGGAATCCCATCAAATACAAAACAAAAGGAAATGGTCCTGTATGAAGACTGGAATAGCCTCAGGCACTAGTAGGTGATGGTGACTGACTGGCTGAAAGCAGCCTTGCAGGAAAGGACCTGCTCATCTTGGTACATACAAGGTTGGGCAAGAGCCAACCCCGTAGCCTTGGGGACAAGGCTGCCATGGGCATTACCAGCCGTGTCAAGAGCTGGTCCTTTCCCCTTTGCAGCCTTGGTGAGCACCTGCTGTGTTCAGCTGAGCTCCTCTGTGTGAGGAATGATGTGTGCTACTGGAACAAATCCACAGTAGCACCACCAAGATAGTTACAGGGCCTGGAGTATCTGTCATGTGAGGAGAGGCTGAGAAACCTGGGACTGTTCAGCCTGCAGAAGAGAAGGTTCAGGGCAAGGGATTGGCAGTGCAGATCTTTTAATTGTTTATCAATCTTTGATGAGCATTAGTAAAGATGACTCTGGCAGACTTCTTGCTGGTGCCCATTGGAGGACAAGAGCAACAGATACCATTTGAAACAGGTGAAATTTATCAGAAGCTGAAACACTGCTTTAATCTAAGGGAGATCAAGCACTGGCACAGGTTGCCTAGAGGGGTCTCCATCCTTGGGAATATTCATATCTGGCTGGAGAGAGCCCTGAGCAACCCACTGTGATTGACCCAGCTCTGAGCAGGCAGCTGGACTAGACAATGCCTGGAGTTGCCCCTTTCCATCTCAGCCATTTTGGGATTTTGCAGTGATCTGCAGGCACCAATTCTCATGAGTATGTCTGAAAGCTGTGAATTTAGAGAATATTTCTGAGTTTGCCTAACTGCTAGGTGTTTTTTTTGGTAGTGGTTAGTATACTTGCAAGTCAATTCTGTAGAAACTCTTGATGCTAAGAAACATTTAGAGATTAAAAACAGACTCTAAAATTTTCTTACTGTTTTCAGCTGGTTGTAATGAATTGCAGAATTGGTAATATATGATCAAGCCCATGATATTTGAAATGTGTGTTTTGCCTGGCCTTTTTTTCTTTAGCTTTCTTATTGGACAGAATGAATATTCAGTTGGGAGATAATGAAAATATAATACTTTTGTTTTGTATAGAAAGTGGAAAAACACTACGCTTTTGAGATTCCCGATGTACCAGCAAAATCTGAATACCTAGAAGTTAAATATTCAGTGAGTATAATTAATCTGATAAAATATCATACCTTCCTTTTTTATCTAATTAAGTTTAAAATGTGAGCAGTTTCTGTATTAAAATGGTCACTGATCATTGTAGTCTTGGCTGATGTGTCCAGTGTGGATGAAGAACTTAAACTTCAGTGTGTTTTTACATTACTGGCCTGATTTTTTAAGTGGAGCTTATAGTGTGATTTCCTCAATTACTATAGGGTTATTATGGGTTAGGGCTTGTGGGGGATGAGGGTGATTTCAGTACTGAAGGTGCTGTCTGAATGTGGTTTGTCAACCTTGAAGACTTCAGTGGGGTGAAATGACTCCCTGCTCTGTTTCTTGTTAGGCTGAATGCCCTCGGCTTCCCCAAGACCTGAAGGGACAAACATTCTCACATGTCTTTGGAACCAACACCTCTAGCCTGGAACTTCTCTTGATGAATCAGAAGATCAGAGGACCCTGCTGGCTGGAAATAAAGAATCCACGTATGGTGGTTTGCATGTGAAATTCCTGGTTACCAGGAAACACATACAGTTATAGATTGGAGGGTAATAGGGGGAATTTAAATTGTACAGATGAATTATAATTTTTCACATTAACCTTGCAACTTATTGCTTTAATTTTCATTATGTATAACCTTGCAACTTACTGGCTTAATTTTCATTATCTAGTACAAATTTTAAGTTATTCTTCCTTTTTTGGAGTGACAAATATCTGTATAAAGGTGTGCACTGTACAGATGAGATTATAATTTTCAGTACCTATGAGAGGGAACTGTGCAGTGCCTAGCAGCTCTGTTTGATGACTACCCTAATGCCATGTAAATGGAGCTAAACTTACTTGATTTGAAAATGTCTCATCTTTCTGCTCTTGATAACTTAAGATTTGGGTTTTTTCTCCAAATATGTATTTTTTAGAACAAATGGCTGCTAGATGGGTTTTTTTTTCTTTTTGAATTAGGTTTTTATTTATTTTTTCCTGACACTTGGAAAAGTTTGTGGTGTGGAGCTGTTTTAGTTTTAAATCCTTTCTGCCTCATGATTGGCATGTAGCCCTTAGAGGTGGTTGTGCTGCTTTATTTTGGTTGGGTAAGAACCCTTTATTCAATGTGTGCTGCATATTCCCATGATCATAGGGATGTTGATCATACTGGACAAAAGTATCTGCAACATACTGCATCTGTTGCTGCTGTATCCTTGGGGCACAGTGCAGAACTGACTGTATGAATGCTGACACCAGGGAGTTTCTCCTCTCAGCAGCTCGCTCAGTCACTGACAGAACTGATACCAGTACAGATGACTCTGTGTAAAGCTTCCTGAAGTATTTTTTGGGTTATGCAGACCTTGATCCAAACCTTTTCTTTTTTATTTGGTGTTGAAGAGCTCCTGCTGACTAGGAAGTCAGGTCCAGGGAGTTACCAAAAATTGGGCAGCATTAGTGTGTGTCTTGGACTGTCCCACCACGACAAAACATTTGGAGGGTGTGCTCTGTGCAGCAGTGCCATCAGAGAAGCCTTGTCTGTGGTTCCCAGAAGAATGGAGGTGGTTTGTGTTGTTTCCTCAGAGCCTTCAAATCAGCCTCTCAGCTGGTGTAAAGTGGAGGCTGTGGCCATGAAGCCTGGCTTGGTGAATGTGGTTAAAGAGCTTTCTCCTCCTCCTCCCCTGGTGGTTATGTCCTTCAGCATGAAGACCATCCAGAACCCAAAGACTCACCAGAATGAGGTAAGTAATCTGCTCTCATTTTGGTTTGGTTTTGTTCTTTGACATATACTAAAAGTCTCCTAAGGCTTGGAAGACCCTCATAAAGCATGTTTTAAATATATTTACTCTTGAAAAGTTTCTCTGCTCTGGGCTTTTCAAAGAAATTTTTACTGGGATTTCACTCTGGCCTAGGGGTCCTGCTTGGTGAGAATGTTTACTGTGACAGTGGACCCATGTATGTTTTCAAGCCTTCTGTTTTCTCTATTGTGCCTCATAGTTATAAATGAGACTCCCCAGCACAGCTGTTAATGGATTAGTATTAATTAATTAACTAAGCTAGAGCTAATCATAGGTTATAGATAAAATGACCAGGCTTTTCTGCTAATAAAACTCATTTTAAAATGAGGATTTGGTCTTGATCTTAGAGCACCTGCTATTCTGCTGCAAGGTCTTTCCTCAGAAAGGAAGAGAGATGTAGGGGCCACTCTCACTTGTAGACTGCCGACCGCAATGTGCACTAGGCAGGCTTTTTTTAACATAACTCTCATTAATGGGAGAAGAGATTTAGTATTCACAAATAGGATAGGACAGTTGTTTCTGGCAAATTGAATTGAAGACTAATATGTTGGCAAATTTTTCAAGCAGAATTATTCCTCATAGTGAATTAATTTTTTTTGGTGGAAGTATGGAAAATAAGGGGTTTCTGACCAAAGTAACGGGACATACACATGGTACCAACAGGACTTAGCTTGCCAAGATGCTTTAAAGCCTTTCTGCTTTATTTTCTGTTGGGTTTTCCTGATCAGTGTCTGAGAAGCCAGGCCAAGCAGTCAGAAGCATCATTAAAGCTTCTGGCTTCCAAACACAAAACATTAAACCTCTTGGCTTCTTGGCAGTGTTGACTGCTTGCTTAGGGACAGCCCTTCATGAGGCAAGGCTTCTCTACCCTGCTCACATCTCCCCTGCACTCCATGGGGAATCTTTTACATTGTGGGGTCTGGTCAGATTCAGAACAAAGACTGATAAAAGTAGAAGTCTTTCAAAATGAATTATTTTTTCTCTCAAATTTATAATGATTTATGAGCAAGTACTATTTTGTTTCCTTGAAATCAATTGATAACTTCTTTTCAACTACTTGGAGTTGGAATTAAAATAAGAAAGATCTGTTGGAGAAACAAGAGAAAAGAGATGAGAAACTTTAAAAAAAAAAGGATGGAAGAAATGAGTATGGATAGTAGTCATGCTTATTTGTTCTTATGAAGTTGTGTGTTCTATATCTCCTTGGTATAGGTTGTGGCTCTTGCAGCTCTGGTTCATCAGAAATTTCCTTTGGATAAGGCTCCACCTCAGCCTCCTTTTCAAACACACTTCTGTGGTATGTACTTGGAACAGTTTGAATACAAAAATTATTAATTCCATGATTTTTCTTTTTTTGTTCTGTTTTGGTTTTTTGGTTGTGGGCGGGGTTATATTAATTTATTTATTTAAATTTTTATTTCTTTCTGTCACTACAGCAAAAATGGCCTAAAATAGACAACTGACAAAATTTCAACTCTCAAACAGGCTTTTCTCCCCATTTTTAACTTCACTGGTTACTGACTTTTTATTGAAAACTTAATTTAAAAAAATCTTAATTTGAGATAATGTAAAGTAACCCTGCTCTATACAGTTTCCTGTATTTTTTATTGGTTTTACTCCAGTTTTCTCTACCCATCAATATAGACAGTTAATTTACTGCCACTTTAATTATTTTTTTGTTCAGCTTTTCTGAACTGAATTATTTATAAAGTTTTCTTAGGGTAAAAAATGTTGCAGCATTGTCATTGCAGTAATATCAGCTAAACTTTGAGATTCAGACACTGACTGGAAGTGATGAGGTGTTGAATGCTTGTGAGAGGAAGCTCTGCAGGAGCTGTGGCCCATAGTTTTAATGTCCAATAATAACCTCAAATATGACTTGATTCAGATTTGTTAATGCTTTAGTAATTTGGAATTTTAGTAATTACTTGGTTAATTTAATTACTAATTTAGTAATTACTTGGTTATCTTAAAGACAGTATTCACCTAAAGCTGCTGTTTCAGAATCAGAGGTCAGTTTTCTCAGCTCACTTTGTTGTGAATGGGTGCTTATGGGGAGAGAACAGTTAGGAACTTGGATGTAAATACAAATATCACTTTTTGCAGCTGTTTCCAAACCGAGTGATTGCATTTTTCCTTATGACTTCAAAGAAGCCATTAAAAAGAAGGTAATTTCATTTTGTTACCCTTCTGATTGCAGTACCTTATAGAATATGAACTTTGTGGTGCTTTTGATAAGTGGTGAAGAGAAATAGTTGAAGGAATGGAATTATTATTTAGTTAGTTTTCTACTCTGCAAACTTAAATCCAGGTATTTATTCTGTGTTGCTTGTAAAAAAGTGATGTGTGCTCTGTGTGATTCAGTATTGCTGCTAATTGTGTTCTTAAAATAGAGGAGTGTTAGGCAGGAGAGTTTGAAAGACTTTTGCAAAGAGGCTAAAATTGTGGTTAATTTTCATTATACCTGACTGTACTCATAGTAAACTGGGAGAATGTATTTCTTCTTTTATTGAAGAGTAAAGTCTGTCAAAATTTAGAAGATGTCCTTTCTAAAGGGTGGTGGGAGAGCTGGCAGAATAATAAAGTAACTTATTTTTGTTTTTCCTCTATTTCTGTGTGATCTTAAAGTCTGTGATTGAAAGATGCATATGGAACATTTTCCTGGTGTGCTTGATTCTTATGAGGCTCTTAAAGTATCACACCTGCATTCAAAAGCAGAATGGGAAACAGCCTCTGAGAAAAGCTTTCAAATGTCTATGGGAGTGAGGAAAAAAATCCTTGAATTACAGAAGGGAAAGCAGAACTCTGTGGCGCTTTGTTATTGTCTTGTAACTGGTAGGGGAGAGGAGATGCTTCCATTTTAAACTTATTGGGTCATTGAAATCAGGTGCTCTCTTGCTCCTTTTAGAATGCTAAAATAGAGATTGCTGCAACAGAGAGAACACTGCTGGGATTTTTCCTTGCGAAGATTCACAAAATTGACCCAGACGTTGTTGTGGTGAGTAGTTCTGAGACTCTGAGAGTTAAATTCAAGCACATTGTCAGTTGGTCAGCTTTGTTCTTTTTCTTTTGTCCCCTTAGAGGCTTTTTAATGCTTGTCTTAGACTGCCTTATGAATTGAGTTTGCTTATGAGACAGCAGGTATATTTTGATACAAAGATGATAGAGAATTTTCCCTGGCAGCATTTTATACATACTATTATTTCCTATAATAGCTAAAATAGGCAGTATTTTCACAATACCTGAAACAAGTTTGAGGTTTTTTTCTTTACTCAGAAAGACAAAACACAGCAAAAAACTCTGGTTTTCTAGAAAAATGGGAACTCTTGGTATACTTAAGATTCTGTTGCAATTCAGATGCTCATATAATTTGTGTTTATGCTGTAAATCAAAATAACCATCTATGCAAATACATGAGATCTGAGAAAATTTTGCAATAAGCATAGTTATGTTTTCTACTGTTTTAGCAGTTGAGGGTTTAATGTAATTACTCATTTTCCTTTTTTTTTTTGTTATGTTTAATTAATGTGCAGTACTAACTTTCACATAATAAAATTCTGAAGACAATTTGAAGTTGGTTTTCAATCTGAGGTTGATTACATACAACTTGTTAGATTTATGTATTTACATAACTTCTGTAGGTAGATACAAATAATTAAGTGTTGAGAATATGATGAAGTGAGCAGTCAACGCCTGATGTTTTCAGCTCACTGCAGCTGGTATCCAGTGTTTGCCCTGTGACCTAAGCTTCCTGGTGCCTATGGCAGGGAATCAGAAGCAGCACTGCAGCCAGTGGCTTAAAATTGGAGATACCAAGAGCAGGGGTGTGAGAGCTCCTATCCTGAAAACAGCAGAGCTGTGTTAGTGCAGTTTCATTTGCACCTGGTTTAATTAGTGCTGTTGAAATGCTGCTCCCATCTTAAGTCTTGCACTGCACAGAGGTACCTCCTGGAGTGGAGCTGGTGGCTGGCTCATGTTCCTCAGGGCAGCATTTTGCTTTCAGCTGAGGCTACAGACCAGTGTCATCAATGTCATCTATTCAGCACTGTTTAAAATATTGCTGGAGTGCTTTGATATGTAAATATTGCTTGCAAGGTGTTCCTATCCAGATTTAACAGCTGTTCCTGTTGTACTATCACAGAAAAAAAAATTACAGCATTTCGATACCACTATTGTGACTTTCACAGGTGGAGAAGAAAGGAATTACTCTTAGCTTAAGTTTATATGCTCTGTGAAGAATGTTGTGGAATTTTTCTGGAAAGCTTTAAATCCTAATCTCTGGTATCAAAGCATGAAGCTGTATTGTGTGTGCAATGAGCCAGTTACAGAGCTGATTTTGGTATTCTACTGAACAGCATTGTCAGTGTTAAGACTAATGAGTTCTGTTGATGAACATTCTCTTAGAAAGTGCTTTCTACAAGAGAGATAATGCCATCAATTAGTTGGAAAAAATCACAAAGGGCAAAGGAATACTGAGTATGTGAAAGTAAGTCTTTCAATTTGCATTTGTTGTAACCTTTTTTGTTTTTTTTTCTACTTCAAGGGTCATAATATTTATGGATTTGATCTGGAAGTGCTGCTTCAAAGAATTAATTTGTGCAAAGTCCCTCACTGGTCCAAGATAGGTCGACTGAGGAGGTCTAATATGCCAAAGCTTGGGGTAATAAGATTGCTTAAGTCTTTTAAGCCCCTTTATGTTGCATGTGATTAAAAATGAATTAGTTTTTCTGAGGAATTGCAAATGTGACACTGATGTATTTTGACTGTTGGTCATGCTGAATTTCGTGGGTCCCAGATCAGAAATTATGAGTGTTTATATGACTTTTATTACAGTAATAGGATAAACTGATTTTCAAGTTAGGCTAATTTAGTTTACTTATCTCAACTAGATGATAGTAATGACAGATTAATTGCAATAGTCTTTACTGTAACTGTCTTTGTCTGCTGTAACTGTAAAATGAGAAAAGGCAATTTGGATTGATGGGTGAATCATGCCATAGAGAGCTGCTAAGCTAATAATTCTGTAGCTCCTATTACATATTTATTCAGAGGACAGTGTCTGAAGCTTGAAGTGCTGAACATGGCTGTGCTCTTGCTTGTTCCTGTTCTTCCTGGAGGCCAAGTTGGGTATTTCTGTGTAGTTCTGTGACTTCTTTATCCTGCTGTTAATACAAAAAGTATCCTTGGAAGAAAGACAGAATCCACATCCAGGTTCTTGTTGGGGCTATTCTAATGATTGAAGGGAAAAAAAAGCATGATAGTTTAAGAGTTAAGATATAACCAGTAGTGAAAATTAAGTATCTATTTTTAATACCTACATACAGTGAAAGGTAACATGGATTCCTTTAGGGCATAATTATAAGTTCTTATATTAGTGATATTTAATAGAGTTTTCGAGTACTTAGTGACCAAGTGACTTGACTTAGTCTTACAAACATACATTGTGGGTAGATGTTTTTTGTTAGTGTTTCTATGTTTCATTTTATTTGTGTTTTCTCTCTCTGTGTAACACATGAAGGGCCGAGGAGGGTTTGCTGAAAGGAATGCTGCCTGTGGTCGGATGATCTGTGATGTGGAAATTTCTGCTAAAGAACTAATTCGTTGCAAAAGTTACCATTTGTCTGAGCTGGTCCATCAGATTTTGAAAACAGAGAAGGTAACAATTCTACCGGAGGAAATTCCAAATATGTACAGGTACGTTGCTGATTGGGAGTTTTAATCCTTCTCTGGAGAGCAGAGGAGCTGATTCCCTGACATAAAATTTTACATTTCCTTACTTGATTTGTTGTGGGGATGCTGACTTAGCATATTGGGATTTGAAAAGTTAAATACTGTCTTAACATTATAAAATAATGTTTCAAGCTGCTTGTGGTGGCTTTATTATGTAAGAGGCAAATTGATTTGTGGGAGCATTGGTGTAGGCACACTAACAGGAGATGCAAGCCTGAGTTTTGGGCTGATTTTTCAATTACAAGAGATTGCTATAAAATTCATCAGTCATGTGCTACAGATACCATGTGTTGCATACAGCACATAGGTCTAAAGCCTACAGAGTACAAGGGAGATGGATTTTACTGTACTAGGCTGTGCCCCTTCTTTCCCCAGTGATTCTCCTCGCTTGCTGTTCATGCTGGAAAACACCTGGACAGATGCCAAGTTCATTCTCCAGATCATGTGTGAGCTGAATGTTCTGCCACTGGCTCTTCAGATAACAAACATCTCTGGGAATGTCATGGTACATTTTTATTACTTTCCACCCCTCTCCACTGTCCCCTCCAAACAGTTCCATGTTTTCTGTGTTTGATTTGCTGGGTTTAATTTCTAAACACTAATTTAGAATACACAATGCTGTTAAATTTTTTTGCTCTCATGAGGAGAGTTCAATGTTCTAATCAAGTAATAATGTATCACATTTGAGTTTTGCTGCCAGTGTTCTCTGTGCTTTGCTCTGAGTTCTCTTCTCACCCCCTCTCTAGTCGAGGACAATGATGGGTGGACGATCTGAGCGTAACGAGTTCCTGCTGCTTCACGCCTTTCACGAGAAGGATTACATTGTGCCAGACAAACAAGTTTTCAAAAAGCCTCCACAGAAGCTGGTGGGTCCAGTTTTTCTCTTCCTAAAAATTTTTATTAAAAAAAGGAAAAAAAAAATCTTCCATCTTCTGCATGTTGCAGTTCTGTGGGAACACAGAGAACCCCAAATATAACTCAGATATAACTTAAGGGTACAGCGTATGCTTAATTAAAACATTGGTTTTGTGTGGAGTTCATAATGAGATTGGGACAGTGTAACAGCTTTTCCATTGCAGCACAGATCTATAAAAACTCAGTTCTGAGTTTTTATAGATCTAAGTACAAGCTAAGTACTTGTCTGTGTCAGGAAACAGTAAAGAAGACAATCTGTGTTGTCTAATATTTGCATTTAGTTATTTTGATGAACAGTATTTCAAGAAAAATTTGTTATATGGATGAAATATCCAAAGTTATTAAAAAATTCCTTTGTCTAATACCATTGTAAATAACAATTACATCAATATCTAGATATTTGTTAGTGAGCAAATTAAAATTTGAGAAAGTATTTGTATTTCTCTATATATTGCTTTTTAGTTTTAAATAAGTTCAACAGCAAACTTGAAAGCAAGGATTTCTGTTGATTGTATTGTTGCATCAAAGTAGCACTGGAATTCTAAATGATTCTGAATAGAATTGAAAACTGGGAGAAGAATTCTTACTAAAACATAAGAAAGAATATTCTTTAGGTCAGTAGTAATGTTTTTATTTGTTTTATTCAAGCCCAGCCATTCTGTTTGCAAAACCAACATTTTAATTGGGCAATCATACCACTTCTGGGTCATGAGTTGATTTTTTTCATAGTGTGGACTTCTACAGCCAGTTGTAAAAGGCATTCTGGTGCCATGTTGAACAATGACAATACTTCAGAGTCTTTGTAATCTCTTCTTAGCAGTTTTTTTCCTGTCAGAATTGGTTTGAATGCTGTTTTGACATGTAGAGAGCTTTAGTAAGGATCATGATGAAAACACTATATTTTGCATATATTTTAAAAGGAATTCTGCACTGACTCCCAAATTTGTATTTGACTTGCCAAAAATAACTCCTCTAACATTACAGAAATCTTAGAGACTAGATAATGACTTTTTTAAATGCCATATGTAGGTGGATGAAGATGAAGATTTTGAAGATCAGAATAAATCAAAGATAGGGAAAAAGAAAGCAGCATATGCTGGGGGCTTAGTCTTGGAACCCAAAGTCGGTAAGATGTGGCAATTTTCTTTCTTCAATGAAGTTAGAGACAGGTAGGTTACATTAATACAGAGAGATTGCAGTGGGGACTCTGTGGATGTGGGAGTTTGGTGTTGTGGTTGTGAGGGGAATCTTGTTGCATAAACAAAATTCCCAACATTGATTGTGGAATTGCTTTTTTTGAGGCATTAGGACTGTACATTTATGTATAATTGTCTGATGGACACGTAAGTTTTCTTTCAGTTTCTCCTCTATGTGGGGAAAACTGTACAAGTGTCCTATAGTAACACAGAAGGTATCTGTTCAACTCTGGTGAGTTAATGGGGTTGGATCGTTCCACTTCTGACAGCTTCTGTAAAGGGCAGTGCTGCATCTCAGCAGCTGCTTCAAGGGATTTGGATCGTGGAAATGTGGCACAATGTATTACTATCACTTAAATATTAACTGGGGAGTTGTATGAAGTCCTCTGGGAGACTTGAGTAATTATGACTTCTGTTTTAAACTCTGTTTTAGGTTTTTATGACAAGTTTATTTTGCTTCTCGACTTCAACAGCTTGTACCCATCAATTATTCAGGAGTTCAACATCTGCTTCACCACTGTGCAGAGACTGTCATCAGAAGCACAGAAAAGGGCAGAGGTTTGAGTGCTTTAACTTGTGGCTTAAATTACACAGTCTTAACTTCAGAGTGCTCTCTGTGAATCAGCTCCTTAAGAAACTGTTCTTTTTCACTGGTTTTTTTTTCCCCTTTCACACACAAAAAGTGATTCTTATTTGAAGATGTATATGTTAATTTGTGGGTTGGGACTTTTTTGAATATTTTTTGTCTGTCACCTTCCTTTCTGTAACACTCTTATAGAATCTTGGTAAGTTTTTTGCCATCTATTCTTGGTATCCTCATGAAACAAGATTTTTGCTGAGGCTCTGTGACCCTTTTCAGCCTCACATCCCCCCTAGCAATTTCTGAGCCCTTCTACTGGTTTCATCCTAGCTTGACAGAGGCTTCCTGAAGTTAACCTCCTATTTGTATATTTATGCAGATATACTTAATAGAGGTAGGCAAAAGTCTCATGCTTTCTACAGGAAAGAATAAGATTATGAGCTCAAGCTTTATTAGATATCAGGAAAATTAAGTGTGTGACTTGGGAGGGTGATGTTGTGACTGTGTGAGCTGTGGCACCAGCTTCACAAAACTCTTGGTGTTTAAGCTATGTTAAACACAACTGAAAATCCTCCTGAAGGTACAGTTGGATGTGCTGTTTTATAAGCAGCTGTGTTGGCTCTGGCTTATCTATGGCTGGAGATTCTCATTTCCTCAGCTGTGCTGAAACACTTGTTGATGGACCTGTGTTGTAAACTGAAGCATTGAGATGGTCAGGTCTAAAGGTTAAAGCAGAGGCTTTTATTTTTAACTGGTATCAGCTCCCAGGTTGGAATTAGTTAGTCCTGTAGCAACTGAAATATGAACACAGTAGCAGAAATGAGGAGACAAGTATGTGGAGTTCTGGCAGTAAGTTCCTTCAACTTACCTTTGGATTTTCCCTGCTTTCTGAAGTGTGCTTCAACCTGAAGCAGCTAATTTTGATTTCCCTCACTGTATGATGTTTAATCAGGCTTTGATGTCATTTCTTGTTACAGTTCTCCTCAAACTGCTTTACTAAACCTGCCAACCTCACCATGTCTGTACTGCCCTTCCTTTGCACATTTCTGTCACTTTCATTATGCTTGAAATACCTTTCCATTTTTGCTGTTCCTTCAGTCATGCTAAGAAGGTGCCTTTCTGCTACGTTGTTTTGCTTGGGGTGCAGTTTTTGTTCTACTTTTGTCAGTTATATCATTCAAAGTATCAGTTCCACAGAGCACGTGCTCCTTTTGACAGGTCTGAACACCAAAAGTACTTACATGATGATAAAAAATGGATGGATTTTTCGGCACAGAAAGAATTGCTGTGTGTGTACTCCTTTTTATATTTTTGTATTTATCTATATATACCTAAGAGTGGGAATGTGTGTGTGTTATTTATTTATCTGTATTTATATATATATGTATATATATATGTATGTATATAAATATGTATGTATATAAATATATAACACACATTCTGATAAAAACCAAAAACCTTCCTGCTACTGGTCCATGCCTTCTTTGTGTTTCTCCAAGAGTGAAACAGACTTAAGCCCTGTCCCCTAGCAGGGGCAAAGTAATACTGTTAAACACTGCAAAAAATCTCTCATGCTTGCTCTAAACTGTGCTTTGGGTGCTCTGCAGGAATTGGCACAAGCTGTAGAGTTTTGGTTTTTTTTTTCCCACCAAGCTTTTCACTTAATGCATTAAATCTAATCTTCAAGCAGTAAAATGATAAGCAGCAGTGATCATTTCACAGGTCGAAGAAGAAGAAGAAATTCCAGAGCTTCCAGACCCATCTCTGGAAATGGGAATTTTGCCTAAAGAAATCAGGAAACTGGTGGAGAGGAGACGCCAAGTTAAGCAGTTAATGAAACAGCCAGATTTGAATCCTGACCTCTATTTACAGGTGTGTTTTCTAGGACTCCGTTGATTTTTCCCCCTCTCCCCTTAAGTGCCCTGATCAGCCTTGTAGAATAGAGATGATTAGTAGTGAGCAGTGATTGTAATGTGCTTTATTTGTAGCCCATCACTGCTGCAGACTGTATAAAAAAGCTGTGAATGTAATTGTGAGCATTAAGTTCTGTTCCCTGATGGCTGTGGTTGGATCATTTTTCTGGTTGTGTTTCTTTTCAGTATGATATCAGACAGAAAGCTTTGAAACTCACTGCTAACAGCATGTATGGCTGCCTGGGATTTTCCTACAGCAGATTCTATGCCAAGCCTTTGGCTGCTTTGGTGACACATAAAGGGAGAGAGGTAAGTCATTAAACAGGTTGTACACACATGTAAAAAGGCTGAATGTAAGCCACCTGCTTTTTTTTCATTGAATGCAAGAATGGTTTTGTTCTTGAACCTGCTTTTGATTTCAGTACTCTTAAGTTTATCTTTCTTGTGAAACTGTTTGGTTTCAATGGGCCAGATTGTGGTGACAACAACAACAAAAAATCAAGGCTGCTTTCATTTTCCATTTCATGAATGAAATTCACTTAATTTAAAATCAATTCCCTGAATTTCTAGTTCTGTTTAATGGGCTAGTCTTTGATTTGGTGATATGCTTCAGCTTTGGATGAGCTTGCTTGTAGCCAGACTCTCCTGTGGCCTCATATGACTTCCTGAAACCCTAAAGTTTGTGATAGGGCAAATTAATCATGGAGCCAATGGATTGTGTATCAGGGCTTATTTTTGGAGACTCTTTGTTCCTTGAAGTTTCTCATTAGCCTCATATTTTATTGTAAGAGTTGCACTTGACTTTATAGGCCAGACTACTTTTGCTGTTGGTTATGATGGTGGCTCAATACAGACCACATCAGTTGTGTCCCTGTGAGAAAAATAAGCTTTAATGATCCAAAACATACCACTGATATACATTCATTGTCTTAAAACATAATGATGTTTGGTATTAGTTCCTTATAAAAGAGAATACCAAGCAGGAGTCTGCAAAGGTGCCAGGAACAGTTGTGTCAGGATGGCTGGTCAGCCTTTTGTTGATCAGGGAGGTGGATGAGGTCTCATCCCTGCTGACAGGCTCATCCTCTCTGTGATGTGAGGGCACACCCACTTCACAATTCCCAGCTCAATTGCATTGGGGTGTTTTATTTCTGGTAACACATCTTTGTTTTTAATTATCTTCCTATCTTAAACAATTCTCTAGAGATCCCCGCATTTGTTGTGTTCCCAATTTATGTAAGCACTTTTGTTTAACCTGACACATCTGTTTAACTCAGAAGTAATTTCCCAGTTTGGTAACTGCAAATGTGCCATGCAGCCATGTGAATTCAGAAGTTATTATTTCCTTTAATAAGCTACTCTGCTTGTTGATGGAAGATTCAACCTCATGTTGTCTATGAGGCTGGCATGCAAAGCAGCTTTTAAAAGTGACGAATTCTACTTTTTTCTTTGATTTTTTTGGTAATGATCTCCGTGTGTGATATGGACCACCTGCCACAAACCTGGTATTCTATGGATACTTAAGCTTTTGGCCTCTGTTAAGATGGGGAAATACTTATGGTTTGCACATAGAGTTTATTCAGATTGGTCTGTAATGTATCAGCCATGAGATAACTGTGAAATTCTGGTGTTCCTGCTTTATGTTCCAGAGTAATGGTGAAATGGGGAAATCCTAAATGGGTGCTACAGAATGTGCTAGAGAGTAATTAGAGATGGTTTCTCTTACATAGCTGATCTGTGGTTGGAAAAGATTTCTTACTTCTTAAATTCTGATGGTGCTGGACCTGTGCTGGTTTCTGCACAGGTTGACACATTTGAGTTTTTGCCACAGAAGATGACACGAGGACTCCTTAGTTTTCTGGTTTTAATGTTTTGTTTGTTTGTTTGAAGTTGAAATATCTGATCTGGAAAAGCATTACTTTAAATTTTTATATTAGTCTTTCTATTCATAGGTTTCCTCTTACCACTCAGTTCTAATATAAAAGAAGTAAATGTTAAGTATCTGGAGGTTTGGGTTCTCTGTGAGAAAAGGTTAATTAAAAAGTAACTGTTATGGAAAATTTATGGCCTAAATTTAAATAGCCTTTTCTGATCTGCAATTAATGCCTTTTTTTTATACTGTTGTCAAGGGCACCTGAGTAAATGCAGGTAGGCTTGCAGCAGTCTAAGTGGGAAAAATATCGTGTGGGATGAAAACTGAGCTTAATATTTGCACTAACACAATTACAGTTCAATCGTGAGTCTTAGCAGAATAATTGAAAGTGGGAAATATGTATTTCATGTTGAAGTTGTTAAAGCTCATCCTAGCATCAAGTTTTAATGTAGGTGAGAATGAGTTTTGATGAGTCCTGTAAATGGATGCTTTTCAACTGTGTGACTGACAACCTTTCCACTGAAGCTGTGGGAAGATTCAAGCACTTGATGTGTACCTGAGTACCACCTCTCCTGGACTCTTAACTTCTGTTTGTGGTTTGGAGATGCTGGTGCAGTAAGAGCAGTGGAGCTGCCATGGGGTGCCTTATGGTGACTAAAAATACTTGTAATTGCACATTGCTGTTATAAAAACTTGTGTGACTGTATTAGTGAACTTCTGAACTATATTAGTAGAACTTGGCATGTTCACTTCATTTTGATGGCAGAAGTATTAAATAGGGTGTGGAAAAGCCATTTTTAAAAAGCCAGATTGTAGAAGTAGATGATCCTTGGGGTCCCTTCCAACCCATACCATTCTATGATTCTGTGACAGTGTAATCCATAAAAACTCAGTTCTCTTTGGTCAGTTGTAGAGAGATACGGGCCAGTGCTTGATTTTTATTTTTTTATTTTCCTTCAGGGAGGGAATAGAAATGTAGCAAAGCCTCGCATCCCCGGCCAGGGGCAGGCTGGGTCCAGCAGAGTTTGTGCTGTCTGTGTGCGGGAGCGCCCTGGAGGGACAGTGCGATAGCGGCGGGCGGGGCTCGCTAGATGGCGATAGAGACCTGGAGATCCTTCAGCAATTAACGCTCGTTTTTGTCAGTGTTCAACCCTTGATTATCGGCTTTTCCGAGCGGCTCTTCCTTGTTTTTCATTTGTGGGTAATCTTTAACAGGGACATATCAGTGTGAGCTTGTCAGAATTTAGGTGTCACAGGTAGGCTGCTAAGTTCTGGCGTGTTTTGGAAGAAAAAAACTGCAAAAATTTGCAGTGGAAGCGAGTTAAAACTGTAGCTCAGATCTGTTTGACCATTTTGGCAAATGTAACTATTTTTCTTTTTTGACTGTGAGAAATGCCTCAGCATTTCTCAGTTCAGCAAAATTAAAAAAAAAAATTAAAAATTCTACATTTGCAAGCCTTTGATCAGGAATTTGTTAGAGGGATTCCTGGACTTTCCCCTCCACCCCCCATGTTACTAAACCTTTGCCTGGACATTACTCTTGTTGTAACTATAGCAGTTGCTCGCATGGAAAAGTAATAGGAAAATATTTCATATATTTTTAGCTGTCCTTTAATGTAATTTAACAACTGGAAACAAGATGAGTCGGAGCTGTGCAGGCAGCCAGCTCTGCACCAGCAGGCACTGTGGGGTCATGCCGTTCCAGCCTCTCTAAAGGACAAGCCTTTTGATGAAGTGTCAGTTGTCTGGTTTCCTAAATGCAGGATGCCGTTTGCTGCAGGGTTCTCCTACAGAACAGCAAAGTTGTTGAGAGAATTTCACTGTAGACAGCTTGCTTGCTTATGGCTTTCACTCAGTGCTGAGGCCTTTTCCAGGTACTTGCTTTTTTTTCCTGTATTGTTTTTTGCTGTTGCATATTTTTGCCCAAGCAGACTTGCCTTTGGAAGGAAAACAACACATTTGCTGTTTTCAGCAGTGCTGACAGGTAGACCTGGTGTTCAAATATGCGAAATAAAAGGGGGAAAGAGGCAATTGGGTTAATTCCAACTTTCTCATTCAGATCCTTTAGATACATTCTCAATTAATAATTAGTTTAAGGCCCTGGCAGTCAAAAGGAAAGAATAAAAGCATGTTATTGCTGCAGTCTGGGAGAAGAATGGATGAGGGAGGAGAAAAATGAAGTGGAGAAAGATGAGCTCATTTAAAAAAAATTAAGGGTAGGTAAGCAGGTTAATGGCCGTCTACTGTAATTATGATCTGTAAAGAAATCCAGGCATTTCTTTTTTTTCTCAAGTCTTGTTCATCCAGGGAAAATGATCATCAGCTGCTTTCTCTTGATTGCACCTAAAGCATTGGTTATACAGTCTGCAAGGGTTGTCACGTGAATGGGGCAATTGACAGACTCCTGGTTTTTTCCATGTTGTACTGTGGGAAAAAGAGAATTGCTAAAAGAGGGAAAGGAGCCTCCTCTTGTCTTGTTCTAAGCATGCCATCCATATTTAAACAGGGAATGCAACATCGATGTAACAGTTTTGGAAGGCATGGAACTTGATGGCGAAAGGCGAGGCAAAGAGTTTCTAATTGCTTTTAAATAGGAGAATGGCAACCCAAAATCTTGGGAGAAATAATGCTAAATTGCTGCATTGTCCCAAATGGGAACTGTTGGGGTTAAATAATTTGCCACTGTTGTTAAATTTATCACTGTGTGCGCAACTGTGAGCCTGTGAAAAAGCTGTGTTTGTTACTCTGCATGCTGATATCCAAAACGAGTTAGGGTAGACAAGGAGAGCTGCATACAGTCTGGAACTGTGAACTGGGTACCAAGTAGTAGAAAAATTATGGATAATCTTTACATTTATTGAAATATTATTGGTAGTGAAGTGCAGGAGATGACATCTGGTCTAATACAGAATTTAGCATCTCGAAGGAGAGAAAACGAAACATTTCAATTAAGAAGAATGGCCAGAATATTTTGAGTGAGGAGGCAATTAGTGAGAAGGGAAAAAATATATGTATTTCTTATTTTATTTTGGATGGCATGTTGGTATTTTTTTCCCCTTTGGATAGAAGGGTTTTATTGAATGGGTATTACCAAGAAATGTTTAGGAAGATTGATCAGATTCAGATTGATTGTACAGTAAGTCAGATGAATAGAGAGACCTTTTTTTCTTTTTTTACTGCTTATTTTAAGATTGTGCTATTACAAGAGGTGTGGTGCCTCTCACTTCCTGACTGCTGATTCCTGTGAATGGGTTAGAGCAATTGCATGGCCCCATGGTGAGTTGGATCAGCCTGGTGATCCGAGTTGAAAACTAACTCTAGAGGAAAACCAAATTGATTTCAGTTGGATCAATGGCTCAGTGACTCACTGTGTGCTCTGAGAGCTGGAGGAAAGGAGGAGGCTGGGAAGTGGGGGCAGGCCCAGTGTGAGATGTAA